CGCGCCCGTGTGGCGGCAGCTGCTGCAGCTGCAGCCGCAGCCCCGCAGCAGCGCGCCCAGCACCCAGCGCGTCCCGGCCATGGAGGAGGGCGCGGGCCCTGTCGACGACGTCGCGCTCTTCGCCGCCGTCCCCTCGGGCGCTACCGGGCGGGCGAGGGCCTCAAGCACATGCGCGGCGGCGCCGGCGGAAGGCGTTCCGAGGGGCGGCCTGCCCGGGAGCCACGGCGGGCGGGGAGAGGCCGCGTCAGGAGGAGGCGGTGGCATCGCAGGCGGCGCCTCGCTCTGGCCCGCCCCGCCCCGCCCCGCGCGCGAGGCCCGGGAGCCTGAGGGGGCGCGGAGCGCCGGGCGAAGGCCGCGCGTGGTTGCCGGGGGAGCGGCGGGAGGGCGCCGGCCGTCACCCCCGGAGTGCTCGTGACATGGCGGGCGGGGACGGCGTGGATGGGGCGGCTTGCAGAAATCGCCGCTCGGGGCAGGGACGCGTCCCGGGGCCCCCGGGCCAAAGCGGGCGCGCTGGAAGGAAGCGCTACCGGCCTCTCTTCCTCCGCACCTGCCGGAAAAAACAGTTGGCGGCTGCGGCAACCGGGCCGACTGGCAGGCCCCGCTGGGGCGAGGAGAGGCGCGGGGGTAGCGGCACAGCTCCGGCGGTAGCCCTACTTCGAGTAGACCCACTGGAATGGATGGGAATTCAGTGAGGCGAGCATGGGCTCCCACGCTGGGGCGGGAAAAGGGGAGTGCGTGGAGCTTAAGTTTCGCTTCTTGACTTCCCCCAGCTTTTATATATGCTAGGGAGGCCGCAAAAGGGGGAGGAGCTGTCCGGGTTAGGCCTTCCTGTAATTCCCTCTTCCAGTTCTTTCCAGAAAAGCCCAAAAGAAAAGCTAGTTGCAGACGAAGGGCTTTAGAAGGATGCAAAATAAGGACCACCTGAAGGTTCTGGGTTTGTTGTCCAAAGCCAAGGGTGCTGCATGGGATTCTGATACAAGAGGCTAAGCAGAGATGGCACATGGAATGATGCAGAGAAGAATGCACACCTGTCCAACTTATTTATTTTACAGATATAGCAGGTGTTTGTAGTGTGTTTGCCAAACCCACAGAACCGCTTTGTCAAGAGGCTGTAGTGAAACGGAAATACAAGCACACAATCGCAGTAACAGCTTGCCTCTGTTTGGCTTATTACACTTCTGAATTGCCCTTCCTTCAAAGAGTTTAGAGCAGTTTACATGTGATTCTCAGTTTATAGGACTGAGCCTTCTGCAGTACCTTCAGATTGTTCCTTGGAAGCACAACCTTTCATTAGTATCCTCTAGTGTAATCATGTGTGACATTGCCAAGCTGTATCTTAAATCTTCTTTCTAACTTTTCCATAATGCACTCCACATCTTTTCTATGCTGTTTAACAACCATCCCAAAGTTCTCTAAAGGGCAGCATTGCTTTTAATAAACTATGGGATATAAAAGAAAGCAAATGGATAACAGCTATACTATAGAAATAAGCATCACTGTTGCATTTTAGTCCCACTTCTTGTCCAAGGAGTTGGTTGGAATTATCCTATTTCTAAATTGTTATTCCTTTTAGGTAGGTTAGGCCAGAAGTGGTTTTGGTCCCCAGGGAACCTAATGAGTGTTATAGCTCAGTTGTGATTCCACGACATAGTATTCTGATCTGTGCTCAAATCTATCCTCTTGCACCATGCTAGTTAACAAGAAATAGAATCTAATTTTGTGGCAGAAGGATGATGGAATATAAGCGTGGAACATAGCACTGTGAAGCATCACAAGTTAGACTAGCATCCAGACTGGGAAGATTCCCTTCAGATCCAGAAAGTAATAAAAATCATTTTACTTGAACTGAGGCTTCTGCATTTATTCATATATTTTGATCTGATATAACTGGGGAAACAACAAGTGGGGATGGAATAGTTTTATACCTAGTGAAGATGGATCATAGTAATGTGTTTAGTAGGACACTGGGAAAGGAAAATCAAGAGATGCTTAATTTTCATCTTCCTTCCTTAGCCATACAGGTTTCTCAATGACTGGGTTCAGACAACACAGCAAGCCATGGTGGATTTTTGCCACTGTTGGTCTGTCATGTTGCCATGATGGTAATTTTAGTCTTTAGAAACCACAGTAAGAAACAGCATTTTGTTCTGTGGTTCCTCCATCCATCATGACTCGTTTTGTCTAACTCCAGGACTCTGCTTTCCACAGAATGACCACAATGACCACAGAATCCCCTGGAAAAAGTGACCACTCTAGGATCTGCTGTAGTTATCCAACCTCTGGTATGCTTCATCTAGGCCAGGGGTCGGCAACCTTTAACACTCAGAGCCATTTGGACCCGTTTCCCACAGAAAACACAGCCGCAAAACCCTTTTGACATCTAAAATGAAGATAACACTGCATATATTGTTTTTTACCTTAATGCTATGTATATCTTCATTATGATTTAGCTGCAGCTCTTGTTCAGTCACTAAAAGCAGTTACTTTTAATCTTACATTATAAACTAGTAGGACTCCTTTCATATATTTTGAATAGGAGAACAGCTTCCTAAAGAGTCCAAGTCAGTGCTAAAGGGCTGCATGCATTAAACAGCAAACCCCATAAGTTTGTCAGCAGTAAAAGCAAATGAATCTACCCATGTATCATTAAACATTTGGTTTTCTTCAGAAACTTTTCTTCAATTTATCCATGATTGGCTTACAGGGGAAGTCGCAGATATAGGTGTGTTTAGTGATTGAGTAGCAGATAAACAGTCAAGTGCTGTGAATTGTGACAGGTCCCAAGTGCAGCTTTTAACATTCAGAGGAAGGAGATTACATTGGGACAAAGAGAATCTTTTCAGCAGGGTTTGAGTAACTGAGAGCCTGCAGGAAGCTTTTTCCACTCTTTCCCTGCACAATAGCAGAGGAATGTAGCGATTTACTTAACCAGAGAGCAGGGCCTTCCTGAATGGATGCTTCATCATCACCTATTGGTATTTTGTAACTCAGAATTTTGCACAACAGGAGCTGAGCTGCAGCAGAGAGATTCAAGAGCCACATGCGGCTCCAGAGCCGTGGATTGCCAACCCCTGATCTGGTAGTAGCAGACAAACAGACCAATGAGAAAGGCCAGTAGCATCACAAGGAGATAAGCTGTTTGGGATTGAATTTCAATAGTATACCCACAGCTGAGGGATGGAAACCATGAACACAGAAACCACTTGATCATCTGGTGGGTAGGTCGTTGCAACCCCTGCCCCCCATAACCATGTGGTAACAGTGCAGAGTTGCATGTTGTATGAATGCAGTCAATTTGGGAAGCCTGCCCACTCCTCAGTCACCTTTTCTCTGAAACAAAACTTTTCTTGAATACAAGTGCACTATAATACGTTGTGTACCTACCCAATCTTAGGTTAGGCAGAGATGGGCTGCCAGTGGCTCTAGGGCTAATTTCACTGAGGCCTCAGCTCAGTTTCAGAACCCCTCCACAAGCAATCAGTTCAGGTATCTGGCAAGAGTGTTCTGTCCCTTCCCTGGCAATGTGCTGGGCAGGAAGGGAAAGGCAGAAAGAGGAACGAGATTACCTGTCCACCTTTGGTTCTGCCCAGTGCCAACATGTCATAAGAATGTGTAACCCATAACAGAATTTTTGTGTTTGTTTTTTTTGCTCCTGCTTTGCTGGACCTCTTTACCTTGCGCTAGGTCCAGGAACCTTAGGTAGAGAAATTTCCAGGGAGGTAGCATATCACAGAGATGATTGCAGTATCACAAAAGCCTCTGGAACAATAAGCCAGATTGGGAAATTGTTTGACTAGAACTGCTTCCTGAGTGAAATCACCAATCAAATGATGCTTTTCTGGCCAGCTGCTTTCCATTCTAATTGTAAAATCACAGGTGGGCAGCATAATATAGTCTAATGGCCTCATGTCTAGTATAATATAGTCTAATAATAGACTATTATAATATAGACTATATAATATAGTCTATATTATTAGACTAGAATAATACAGTCTAATTTGCCCACTGCTGGATCAGAACATTTTCATATTCTCCTTTAAATTTCTTCACTCATGGCAACAGAATGTATACAGGCACAATTCTACATGTTTTGGCAGGAAAAGGCCCTACAATCTCCAACCAGCACACTGCATTCCTTAGCCTAAGAGGCTTAAACAGCATTTTAGAGTAATGTGTTCAAATCATCTCTGTGTGGGTTATTCTTGAAAACATTTGAGACTATCTTCGATGTAGATATATGTTCGACTATTAAAACCTTTTCAACAGAAGGAGACAAAGTGTATCTCCTAAAAAGGAAAATGGTTATGCTTGTCCCAAGCTTTGGGCATGCAATTCCAAAAAGATTGTTGAAGCATTTATACTGGCTCAGTTTGAATGTGATATGTGACTGTTGTGGGTAATTTTCCCTACGTGCCTTCTCATCTCAGGGGTGGCAACCATTTTACATATTTTGTACTATAGCTTTCTTTTAAGTGTGACCCCAATGAGGGTGGGTTACTTGGATGGTTTACAAGCAACCTGCAGGAGCCCACTGCTTCTGGGCGGCTCGTTGACTACTCAACAAACACACCCTTGCTGACTTCACACCTAATGAGAATCTATGGCACCTTCCTGCCATCCACCAGCTACTCAGAATGGTGGCCATCAGCCTAATGAGAAGCCCTGCAAGGCTATTAATCCACAATAGCTTTTTGTTACATGTGAACTAGCTCATTGACTATATTGGTGGCATTCTTTTAAGTTGACATAATTTTCTTCTCAGAGTAGGACTTCATGAGTACATACTGTGTTTCCCCGAAAATAAGACACTATCTTATATTTTTTTTGGCTCACAAAAACACACTAGGTCTTATTTCAGGGTAGATCTTATTTTTTATTTTATTTTTAAATGTGTACAACAATCCACACTTATTCATGGACAACAGAATGAATACATGTACATTTGGTATCACTCCGCCTGTGACAGGAGCCGGCGCTATAGAGAAAGCATCGGGTTATGCAGCTCCACTCCCTGAGCGGAAGGAGCAGAGCTGCATAAGCATGTTTCCACTACACAGTGCGTTAAGTTAAAGTTAAAAAATAAAGTTTAAAAAGGCTCTTTATGTTCTCCACTAGCCCTGGGAATAAACATAGAAACAGAGCAAGTCAGAAGGGTCTACCGGGCCATGTAGTCTGACCTCCGGCACCAGCCGGCTCCGCTCACGACATGCCCACCATGTGCACGTCCAGCCTATCCTTGAACACCCGCACCGAGGGGGCCTCAG